TCAAGCTCCTCAGGGGTCTTGGGGGTAGAAGCCTCTCGGCCGGGCTGGAATTGACGGGCGTTAGGGTCGCAGATTGAAGTAAGGAAATCAGCAGTTGTCCTAGCAGCGGGTTAGCGAACGGCAAGTTTCAAGTGAGGGACAGAGAGACATACGATTTCTCTGAGCAGTAGAAACCGAGGTTCACAAAGTACTCGCGCGCCTTGTTCGCAGGGCCCTGATAGAGCATGCGTCCGGAATCAATGACCAGGACCTTGTCCATGAGTTCGTAGATACTCTCTCCGGCTTGATAGAGGGTCACAAATGTAGTACGTTTGCTGACATCGGTCATGATCCGGAGAGACTTGGCATAATCCAAAGCCGTACTGGCGTCCAAACCTCTGGTGGAGTTATCCCAGCAAACAACCGACGACTTGGTCGCCAGGGTTTCGGCGATACTGACACGCTTCCTCTCGCCTCCGGACACACCACGGACATACTCATTACCCACAAGCGTATTCTTAGTGTGCATAATACCGAACATTTTCAGGAGAGCGTCAATGATGATGGGGATGCTATTCTTATCGTGCTTTTTGGTCTTGTTGATCAAAGAAAACTTCAAGGTCTGCCACACGGTCAGGCTGGGGAAGTGCTGGTCGTCTTCCGGGTTGTAGTTGACCTCGCCACGGAAGTGCTTCAGTTGCTCTTCAGCGGAGAGACCACCATACCGTACCTCACCCTCCACACCGGCAAAGGCACCCCGGTCGTTTGCGATGGTTTTCAGGAAGGTGGAGCAACCAGCACCAGGCCGGCCCAGAACCAGCATCATCTCGCCTTCTCGGACTAGACCGGTGAAATCATGCAGCAGTTCTCGCACCGGAGGCTGTTTCCCAAAGCGCAATTGTGGAATGAAGCTGCAGATGATTCTGTAAAGATCCGGGCCAAATGTGCCAACAATAGCATCCGGCAAAGTCCGCACAAAGGACGCTCCGGTCTCGACACCTTTCACCGTGAGATTTCTGAACAGGACACCGACCTTCTTCGCCGGCTCTCCTGTGGTCGTTCTCCGTTCCAGATGACCACCCATCAGGAACTCGCCGAGATCGAATCCACCCTGGTAACCGTCACCGTCACCGTCGATCGTCGAATCCTCCTCGTCGATTGCCTTCTCCTCATCATGAACTTGACTGGCTCGCCCGGAGGCCCGGGATCGCAATCGATGGGCATCCTTTCCCACCGACCGCGTTCGTCTCAGACTCAGTTGGGTCAGTTCCCTCCTCATCTCCTCAAAATCCTCCATGGCGCCACGGCGGGAAACAGGCTCCCCTTGATCCCGCTCTCCCCACCGGCCATCGAGACTCAATTCAGAAGAGGTTGCTGTCACTGATGACGAGTGTACAGTTCCCGCATCTGGACTGAGGACCTCTGCGTGTTCATGGTTGTTGGTCTCCATTGTTGTGCTTGTTGCCGATTCTGGCAGACGAGAGCCGTCCGCCATCTCGCTGTTGATGCGTATCCCTTCTTGTTGTAAACTATGGAGATGTGGACTAAATTGTGCAGGCTGAAGTATTCGTCTTATATTCAGAGAGGAACCGACTCAATAGATTCCTCTGTTCGACTAGGACGGACAAAAGAGAAGGTCGAAGGTAGGTATGTACAGGAAACCGAAAAAAGGGTTGAAGAAGAAATAGATTGGGATGTTGAGGGAATAAGTGGAATCAATACCGTTTACTGTCCAATTCGGAGAGGCGATACCAGTCCAATGCACCAGGAGTGGAGAGGGTCTAGGAAACACAGCAACGGCACCGAACAACAAAGCGACTCGGGGCGTCATCTCGTCGAGACTTATATATCGGTGATCTCCCAGGGTCCAGAATATTACTAAAGTCTGTTAGCGACATCAAGATTCGAAAGAGAAAAAAAATTAGTTGATTTGTAAGGCTTGCGCAAAACAGGGTCCACCTAGTGGAAAAGGAGGCAGATAGACTCATGGGGAGTCATGGAAGTACCAGACGGAGATAGCGAATAATCACGGACGAGAAGTATAGCCGAGTGGTGGGCCGTGGAGCTTGTGGAAGACAAGGAAAAAGTTCAGAAGTCGAAGTAGAAGTGGACCCCGAGTTTCCATCGATTTCGTTCATGCAAACTACCCAAGTTAATGCCTGGAAGCCTGAATCTTTTTGACTCATGATGAGTTATGCAGGATCCAACATGACTCGTGCCAGTAATTCCTGGAATATGATTGGACAGAGAAAGAATTACCTAAGCAGATGCAGACGGTTCTGGTAAAACTTCGGAACAGCCCGATTTCTAAGGACTCCACATCTATGCAGCAGCATTTAACATACTGCACCTACTACGGAGTAGTTGGTATCAATATCGTCGCACGGATGCTAACAGTCGAAGAATCAATTAGACAGAGACTTGATTGCAGCCTGTAGTATGGATTCATCATCATATCGTCTACAGAATATTGACTCTCTGCTCACTGTGGTCTAAACCTAACGCTTAGAGTTGGAAGTAACTATTTCATATTTGTTATGTCATCAACCATCGCAACCCACATGAGTCGGAGATAAGCAAACGGCGTTAGATTAACATCAAGCTTAGTGCTGACGCCACTCCTTTTGCTTTTCCCTTTTCTGGTCTCCGCCTTTCTAGACCTCTGTATTTACTATTTAGTGAGACAGATCCTCGTGTCAGCTTATCGGAGCCTTGGCTCACATGGAGGAGAGGCCTCGGGTCAGCCATTGACGCATTACTAGTCACCTTCCGTATCTGCTTCCAGGGTAAGGTAATAACGGTGATACCTGGTCGCCGATGATGCGGATTTCCAATACGCACTGATCACCATGTGTGCCTAATCAGGGGCATCTAGTCGGGCACCTTCCGTGCGTTTCGAATGTTCGATAAGGAAGCTGTGTCTATAATGTGGGACGTGGTCTAAATCAGGAACCGTTGTTGACTGATTATCAATCAATCGCTTCATTTCAGCCACTTATAAAACTAGCTTGGAGGTGGTGGAGCTGGCCCAAAAGGGGAAATAGCACAGCAATCAACAAAGCAATACGGATGATGATATAATGCAGAAAGAATTCAGGTGAATAATTGTAATGATTGGATGGTGGAACTTTAGAAGCGAAACCCTGAAAAGTCGCCGAGACCCATCGGGTATCGGGTCGATGTTTTGTTTTTATTATGTACAGTACCATGAACTGCCGAGTCAAGCTGCATCATGCATGGTTCTCTTGAATCATGCATCATTCTTGATCGCTTCCTGACAGTTGATAGGTTACAGTTCATGCATCTTCTTTAGTTTCCGATATGGTGCACTGACGTGATAAACCTTTTTTTTTGAGATCCGTCATATTTAAGGGCGTCTGTCACCAACATTATTACGGATTATCCACTTTACTCCGCATGCTTACAGATACACCGCTTCATGTTGATACAGAACAACCAGGTCGCAAAAACCCCTCGAACAGGGCGTCTAAATCTTCGCGACCACCCAATCATCCATCCCCATAAGGTAGAGTCAAAGTTATGAGTCCTGTCCGTCATCCAAAAGGCTCATTAATAATCACAAAATGGCGCCATCATCTCATCTGCACTGCGGAATTCATTTTCCTCAGTTCCATGCGCTGCCTGTGGAAATTTACCTCATCCAGCTGCCCGACTGCACTGACTTTTCATCAAATAAACATAGTATCTCTGAGATAGGCTGCTTTGAAATCAGCCTGCATGCAGCACTCATGAAACCACAAATCCCGTGGTCGTTAGCTTTGCACTTATATCACTGATACTCATAACAGGATCCCGCAGATCCGTGGATAGTGCTACCAAGGCATTCGGATACCTACGGTGGTGTACTCTCTGTCCTTGACCTTGTTTGCTTCCCACCAGAGACTTAATGCAAGATACATTCAGAGCGATGTTACGGCGAGAATATGCATCGTGCAAAATCCGTATGAGCACACGATGCGCCTGACTGACTACTCGAGAGCTGCACAAGCCTTGTCAGTAGGCTCATTCAAGCATGTCGCGACTCATCAGACACCAGTTTAGTCATCGATGGTTGTACAGTTACGCCGTGCTCAGGAAGGCTGCCATTCTAGACTATCCCATCTCCCACGAGACATACAAGTTAACGCTCTCCTTTGAAGCTCCTCTTAATGCAGACATAGACCCGAGCTCATAGCATCGTGTAGATTGATGGCTTGTTTTCTTCGTCATGCGCCTTGATATGTCATATGATACTATAATTTACAATGGATATTTGGCCAGTGATACTATGGGACTTTACAAATTGCTAAGGTCTACCATATGTAGTATCTTTCATAGTGTAGTGACTACTCTTGGGAGATATAGTGACATCATATTCTAAACCTTACCTAATAGCTGAAGCATGCAGTATATATGAATTCACATACCTCTAAACACAAAAATCGCTGCGAAACCATAGACAGACAAAAAGGTAACCAGGACGAGTCCTTTGGGATTCTCTGACTTTGACATCATCTACCCTTTACTACCAGAATGATTCCTTTGGGGTTCTTATGATTATACTATAGAGGTACCCTGACTTTGACCTCATCTACCTTTTACTCCAAACAGATCCCATCAAAGCCAGCTACTCAGTCATAATGGCAGTGAGAGCAGGTAGGCAGAATAGCTATCAGCAGCTATTCCATGTTAGTCCTGCAACCAGTGAATACCAGTACTGCGGAGAACAAGATTTCCTTAGAGTCCTTGACAGTGAATATCATGCCTTGGAGGAAGACACGACTGGCTGTAGAAGCCAGTTTATTATCATTTCTAATGTTGACGAGCAAACATTTTCAGAGACTTTTTCTCATCCATGCAAAAAGCTTTTCACCAGTTCATTTTTCGAATATATTCCAGATCTTGCTCTACTTCTTGTCAGGATGACTACAGCAGCTCATGAGCAAGGATACAATGCCCTCCATTCTATGATCACCCGCAAGTGTGTGTTTATGAACGGGCTGGACTTGCAGCTAAGCGTGATGGGCCAAGTCGCGATTACATCGAACGGGCGCACGAAGAAAGCCGACCAGACGTACCGTCCCATAGTCGTTCCGCAACCACGTTCTGACCACTGGCCTACAGTGGTGATACAATGCGCGTACTCTCAGCCAAGGTCAAAGCTCGCGGATGACGCTCGCTGGTGGTTGCTGGAAGCAGGTGGTGACGTGAAAACTGCTCTTACCATTCTTGTTCACCAAACAAGAAGAGAAGTCGTTATCGAAAAATGGGAATTAATCCCGCGGGAAACAAGACAGGATCAAAACAAGAAGGTCCCTGAAATAACTCGCCGGGCTGTCATGTCCCAGAAGACAGACAACGATCCCATTCGCGTGACAGGATACCCTCTAACTCTACCCTTCGAGCACTTTTTCCTTCGGCCCGCCAATCCTGGTGAAGGGGACATTGTCCTGGATGAATCGGATCTGGAAACCATCGCTAAATTAACCTGGAGGGTACATTCCAAGGTCTAAGATGCCTGGGACGAAGTTGACGACGTCTTTGAGATCTGCTTGGAAATGCGGAACAGGATCGCCTGAATACCACTATCTTCGCTATGGGATATTACATTGAGCTTTGAATAGAAGGCAAAAACAGTCTCCAGACAGAGCAGTTCAACATTGAAATGAATCGTTATTCTATGATATCAAGTTCCTCGTTTTACATGATCTATTTTACAAGAGTAGACTTTGGCCTTCTATAGTAATACATAGCATGGCAATGTACGTCAAGCAGCACCACACTCCCTCCTGATCTATTTCCGAGTCGACCCAACGTCGAGCCCAGACTTCTCCGCCTTCTGGATCGCGTCTGCAAACAGCTCCTTGCATCGTACTTGGCTTCCCAATCTCGCACAGAGCAGGAACGCTCCGCTGAGCTTGCGATGCAAGCTGTAGGTTTCCTCGGGCGGAGGTGCGAGTCGCTCCCGAATCATCACAGGGATCAAACTCCGGACTCGGTCCGTGATGGTCTGATCCCGGAAATCGTAGACGTCTGGCGAAGAATCCATGAACGGTTCGGCAAGTGTCAAAATCGAAGAAACGTGGGCGTCTACCATGGCCTTGGACTCATGACCAGTCAGATAGCCCAGTTCGATGGAGAGGCTGTGGCAGCGTTCTCGGTCGTTGCGAGAAGCTGCGATAAGTGTTCTGATATATTTCGAGATGAATTCGACAGGGTACTCGCGAGAAGCACCAAAGTCAAGGAGTTCCAGCTTATTGGTCTTCGCATTGTAGAGGAAGTTGGTCCAGTTGGGATCTGTCTGCATAAAGCGGAACTCGGTGATCTCGCGGAGGGATAGGCGTAGAAGCTGCGTGCCGATCCAGTCACGTTGCGCCTGGGTGAAGTCATGGATCTTGGTGACTGCAATGCCTTCCAGACGTTCCATGGTCAGGACTTGCTTTCCTGAAGCCTCCGGGATAATCTCTGGAACCAAGAAAACGGGATCGTCCTTTACGAGCTCTCTGAAATGGTTGCCGCACTCGGCTTCTCGGATGTAGTCGCATTCCCACGCGAGTTCCGTCCGCGCGTTTGCAATCGTCTTGTCCAGATAAAGACCTCTCGGAAGAAGACGAGATGCCGTCAGAAGGATGGAAAGGTTGTTCAAGTCGGAGTCAATGGAGTCAGCAACACCCGGATACTGGACTTTGACGGCAACTGGCTGGCCGGTCCTCTTGAGCACCGCTCCATGGACTTGTCCAATCGAAGCCGCTGCCATTGGAACTTCATCGAACGTGGAGAAAAGATCCCGCCAATTGGGTCCAAGGTTGTCAGCCAAGACTTTGTCTCGTTGAGAAGCTGGCATATAGTCTGCTCGATCTTGCACTCGCTGCAAAACCTGATGGATAGCCTCTGGAAGCATTTTGTTATCTAAAAAGAATGAGTGTCCACCACAACGCAATGAATGAGTAACTCCGAGTACCAACCCTGAAAACTCAACATCTGCCCCAGTTTGAGAGCGGCTCCTCGCATTTTTGAGAGTTTGGCCACAAGTCGTTCCATGTTTCCAGGACTGAACATTATAGACCCAGCATAGTCTTCTTTGCCCCCAGTCATCCTTCGCAGGCCCTCACCCACTGCTCCAAAGGCCATCGAGGTAGCCAGTCCACTGTATTGCCACAATCGACCTAACCGCGACGACGGGACACGAGATTCAGTCATCTTATAGGTATCGCTTTGCTTGAGCTCCGCTGCGATCAGGTGATCTTTCTACCAAAATGTCAACATGCGTTTTGTGCCAATCTAATCGACTAGACGACGTACCAGGGCAACATCTTCAGCAATGCTGGCCCCAATCTTTTCCATGTCTTGCTTATCAATTTGCTTGACATTCTTGACAGGAGCCGAAGCTGACCTTGGAGTGACCGAACTTTCAGAAAAGCCTTTAGCTCTCCAATCTGGGCTCTTCATATCCGGGGCTCCTTTCTTGGAAAGTATCCTGGCAACCTTGGGACTGTGGAAAATCTCCTTCATCATCTCCTCCGACACAACTTGCTGTTCTGTAGTAGACTCGGACACAGGCTTCTCAGTGTTCACAGGCGAGTGGAAGAAGTCCGCATTAAGAGAGCTATCCACGTTCACTTGCGTGTTATTGATGGTCTTCGGCAGCTTCACTCGAGGAAGCCCCGATAATCCCGGCGTCGACTCTTGAGAAGGCTGATAAAAGACATCCTGTTGTTCGCTGACATTCAATGCACTCGAGCCATTGTTCACAGTGTGCCCCGCAGCCGATGACGGAATTTGAAATTCGGCCTGTCGTTGAGCTTTCTTCGCTTTGTCCGGAGAGAGACCTGAACGGGCTGCCGCATTTGTTGGCTGAGAAGACGCGGGCGTGCTGGTGGGCTGGGTTTTCGGCGCAGCTTCGGAAGGAGAAGGTTCATTGAATCGCTTGGCTAGAGCAGCTGCAGCTTGAGCTGTTAATATTAAACCCTCAGTCTGCCTCTGAATTCCCTTGGTGAGGGAAGAGGTCCGTGTAAAGACGTCTAGCTGCCGTTGCCGCAGCGTAAGGTGTTTCGTCGCAACTGATTTCGCGACATTGAATAGTTGGATAGCATCCAGAAGACGCTTTCCTGACATAATATAATATGGTCTCGTCAGTAGAAGCTCTTGGTCTAGCTTAATCGCATGATGTAATGTCAGAGGGTAATATCAACGTGCGGAAAAGCGATCAGAAGCTCGCATCGGACCATTATTGCTTACTTACATCGTTCCTCTCGCATCCGCCTTTTTCTGCCCACATCCACCGCCGGAGACGGGCAACTCCGATGTTCGGACGAGCTTATCAGTGGATTTGGGCTTAGAGATAAGAAGCGGGCATTATTTATGCTTTGGTGCAATGGTATCGAGGGGCTCCTCGCAAAAGCATCAACCTCCTCTCTCTGTACACGCTGAGGAATGTCCGAATGAATGGGAAGAACAGTGTACAAGCTCTGGAGAAAGAGATTGCAGATCTCGAGTATCGTTTGCGCAATGCCCGCACACGCCTCACGTTAGCCCGCCGAGAGGGTGCAAGGGAACTACCCTCCAATGGTCCGTGACGACTACCCTGCGACGGCCATGATTGCCGTACCTGAAGACTGACATCGAAAATAGACGAACCATACCTTCCACCAAACCATGCATTACTCCTCCTGTCAGATTCTGCCCTCCCACTGGGATCCTTTGCCTACTCCAGCGGCCTGGAGTCCTACCTAGCCCACAATAAACCTTTGCCTCGCTCGGTGACAACAATCGCATCGTTCCATCACTTCCTCAAGTTGTCAATTGCGTCAATCGCAAGCACCTCTCTCCCGTATGTCCTTGCAGCCTATAGGAACCCGGGAGAACTAGAGACACTAGACAACGATCTGGACGCGTCGACGCCGTGTATAGTTGCTCAGAGGGCAAGTGTCGCGCAGGGAAGGGCGTTACTTGGCGTCTGGGAGCGAGCATTTCGAAGCGCATATGCTTCGGGACCGTCTGTTGGCAGGACGGACGCTGCAAAGGCAGTGCAAATGATTGAAAGCTTCTCCGATGCTCTCAAATCTTGGGTCGGCACTGCGGATGAATTAGGGCCGAAAGGCCATCTTGCTCCTCTATGGGGTGTTGTATGCCTTGCTATGGGTGTCGATCTCCGGCAGACGGCGTATGTTTTCATGCTGAATCATGCCAAAGCAGTTCTCAGTGCTGCAGTTCGCGCATCTGTGATGGGGCCATATCAGGCGCAAAGCGTCCTAGCCAGCAACGCCCTGCAAGCTATGATTTCAGAACGAATCGACCGAGAATGGGATACCGCAGTAGATGATGCGGGCCAAATCGTCCCTCCTTTAGACCTCTGGGTAGGGCGGCATGAGCTTCTCTATAGCAGAATATTCAATTCATAACATTCGAGCACATACATAGAAAACTGTCTACCACAAGAAAGTCAGACGACATCATTAAGGCCATGACCCCATGAGCATGGTGCATTCATCATCTCGTCCTAGGTAATCCTACATCTGACATCCCGGCTCCCCACCACCGGTGTTACTCGGAACACAGAAGTGGGTATCCAAACAGTCTCTCTTCCTGAAAGAGAGCAAGACATAAGGAAAATGGGTGTAAAGAAAAAAGTTGAAGCCGAAGACTGGACAACCACCATGTCTGGCCAGATCGTTATGCAACGGGAAATCTTGCTCGAAAAGCGTAACAGCAAATCAAAACGCCGGTCCCAGTGAGACCCTATCCTGCTAAACCTTGTAGAGCAAAAACACCGCACCATGAACCTTCCATGATTGTGTGAAACACGACAGCAAAAGAAAAAAAGGGTAATAAAAAGGCTAGGGAGAAAATCGGGAGGACGAGAAGGGCGATGAAAACTATGGTACACGAATGTAAATTTTGAACCGGACCGAGGACCAAATCGGAAACTCAACGATTGCTGAGAGGACTCATAGCGTGATATGCATATGGTCATTATTTCCGAATGATCTATTGCAATTTGGACACTTTCGAGACCGAGAAGTGAGTCTTTCTTCCACGCATTCTTTGCAGAATACGTGACCGCACGTCTTGATCGCGGTATTCTTGAAATTCCTGCGGCAGACAGTACAAAGTGCAAGACTCTGGAATGACAATCAATTAGTATCAGTACACCTTATGCATGCGCGGAAAGACTTACCCTCAACATCTCATACTCTGATGACGAATTGCCCAAACTCTTGTTCTTCCAGTTCTCAAGACTTTTCTTGGTATCGGCAAGGGTGACTTTCAAGCTCTCAATTTCAGTCTCGGCTTTACGACAAGCGCTCGAAGCACTCGCCAATGACGAATCCTTCGACACCGAGAGGGCCTTGAGCTCATTGACCTGGGCTTTGAGACCGTCGATAACAATGTTATTCTCCGCGATTTGCTGTTGAGCCGCATGATGCTTGCTGATGATCGAATTCAATGCTTCCTTCGTCTCACTAGCCTGCTTCTCCATATTGGCCAACAGAGAGCGAGTGGTGGCCTCCGATTCCTTTAGTTGCGAGACAATATCGGAGCTCTTCGAGTTCTGTATTCTCAAAGTTCGAACTTCCAACTCTCGTGCTTCCTTGCTTTTCATTGCAGCGAAATACTTCTGATCCGCTTTCGATTTCTCAGCAGTCAACCGGGCGACCTTCTCTTCTAAAGCGCTAAAATCTGCAACCTTTTGCGAAGCCAACGAAGAGTACTTCTTGCAGGCGGTCTGCATCGACGTCAACTCGGTATTGAGCATGGAATACTGGCGCTCCAAATTCTGATACTTCGCACGAAGTTCTTCCAGCGTAATATCCTCGATCTCTGTATGCACGGCTTTCGTGTTGTCAAGCTGCAAGCGGAGCCTTTCCACCTCAGATTCTAGGGCATTAATTCGAGCCTGTGCAGCATCCGCAAGTTCCTGGACCTTAGTTGTCGCGATTTTCTCCTGTTCTTGCGCAGCCTTCCGCATCTGCTGATCAGCCAAAAGCTCGTCACGGGCGTTCCGAATTCGGGCTAAGTCAGTCTCAGCTCGCATCAACTGCGCTTCCTTTTCGGCAATAACGTTCTGGGTTTCCTCATCCACCTGGTTGCGATATGCGGTCCGTTCAGATCGTAACTTTGCGGTCTCTTCACGTAGTTGTATGTTTGTTGCTTCCAGGTGATTGATTCGTTTAACAACGTCGTCGTATTGGGATCGTAGTTGCTTGAACAAGTCCGTATGCGCATAATCATCATCGGTGGGCTTTGTGCGCTACATCAACAATATCCGGTCAGCAGCAGTTTGCACAACTGACGACAGCGCCTTACCTTAATATTCAACTCCGTGATCTGGCTTAGTAGATTTGCATTCTCAGTCTCCAGTTTTTGCAACTGTTCCTTTTGCTTCTCCGAAACAGCCACAAGCTGTTTATGCGCTTCTTCCAGTTCGGAATTGCGTTCAACGCTCGAGGGCACACCGTTGACTGGTGACTGTTCTTCCCGATTTCCAGACGCACTATCGCCGCCAGGTCGCTGAGCACCTAGAAGATACTGCTTCTCTAATTTCGCGACAGTCACGCTTCGTGCGCGGTCGAGCTTCTTCTCAGCCACCATGTACCGTAATGACGCTGCCTCCAGGCTTTCTTCCAGTTGCTGTTTTTCGGCCAAAGCTTTCTCAAGTTCGGTAATAGTACCTTTTTCTTCGGCCAATTTCTTCGCAAGTTGGGACTGCAAATCTGTAACCTCTGGGGGGGTATTTGTGGAGAAAGATTGCAACCGAGTAATAATGGCACGTATATCATCTGACCGGGCTTTGAGATGTTTCTCAAAGTCTCCCATATTTTCGAATAACAACGAACTTCGAAACGAAGGCCGATCTAGACGAAAATTAGCGAGATGATCTCAAGATGACGATCTAGCTAGGTTAGTGCCTACCTTTGTCTTCATCCGAAGCGCCCATGAGAGTTTTGACCTCATCAATTAACTATCACAAGAGCAGTGAGATTCTGCGGCGGCAAGGAAGATGCGCGAGGATACTTACCTGATTAAACCAGGCATCAATTACACGTAAATGGTCATTATGGTAGGCCGTAGCTTTCGACATTTCCTTGAGTTTCGTCTCCAGAGACATCTTCTCACGTTTGTACTCTTGCATCTGGCGCCATATCGCATCTTTTTGGAATCGCTGTCACAGAGTAAGTCAGCATCAGAACCATTTCAGACTTCAGCTGAATTCTAAGTGGGCCGAAAAAATGCCCCCTGCTACAAACTGAAGGTTCAGGAACAAACGTTGGCAACTCACCTCCAGGTCGTCTTTCCAAGGCATATCGGCATCTGGGTGCGGTTTACTCCCACCATTGACAGAAGTAGCTTGCTTTTTCAATGGTGGAGCGGAATCATTGTGATCATGAGTAGCAGGTCTCTTCCGGTCTTCCATCTTGACGATAGCGGACTCGGAACATGCGACGGGAGTTGCTTCGGTGGCCGGCATCAGTGGCTAGAAAGACATAAGTCGATGAAGGCCGTCACCGCTGAACAGCAACCAGCCTGGAGCAATAACCGCAGCAGTACCCGCCCGTGTGGGTGACAACAAAATCTGAGTGACGTTGAAGGACGTAGCCGTGCAGGTGGTTGTGATAAGCAGGACTTGGGAAGCCAGGAGGATTTTCGGCCTGGGAGGTTTAGCGTCGCCTAGCGCCTCCCACGTGACCGAGCCCACTTCCCCCCAGAGTTCAGACGAACTCCCGGCATCTTAGTCTAGACTTCTGCATGTCACCCTCTACGTATATCCGTTGGACCAACCATCCATCGCATCAGTTCTGTTATCGGCCTGGACTTTGATGGTTCCGTTTGTCTCCAGCGATGCTGAGCTGTGAGGATGAAATCTTTTTCGAGCTCTGTCATCAGTAAGTGTTGAATCCTGCCTCCTACAACGTGCTGCATCGGTCTGACCGCCTCCGTCTTCAGATAAGTCGGGCAAGAAATTTGCTCCAAAGGCGCCTGTCCGACGCGCCCCTCCGGCACCCTCTGCCACCCCAGCACCACCGCGAAGACCTAGTACCGGTTCACAAACCTCTACTACTCAGAACACTCAACCGGCATTAGATAAAGTTCCTGCCGAGCCCGCGCCTCCTGCTACGGTCCCGGAGCCTTCTGTCCCATCTGCGGGTGATGTTCAATTGCCCGTCGCCGAGTCGTCGGGGGCCCCGAAACCCGATTCAGCACCATCCAAATCTGTGACAGCCATCCCCATTCCCGTTTCGAAGCGTAAGGCATCTTTCTCGGCTCCCACACGGCGCGTGACTGTTGAAGAAGCTCCTGCGCCATCTCAATCTATCGCGCATCATGATACCAATACCGAGCGCCTCCCCACAAACCTCGAGGCGAATGGACCTGAGAGACAAGGGGAAATTGTTCAAAGTATCGAAGACCCCCAAAACCTTGTGAGCCGCGATGACGCTTCGATACCTGCGGCTAGTTCTCAGAACCTTCCACCTGTTGAGACCGCTACAGAGATCCGCCCATCCAAGCGCTTGAAACTGACTCAAGAATCGTCGACAACATCCACCCGTCCTACTTTTTCACCATCCCATGTCATTACTCCCCCACCTACCCAACCCCCAACGGTTGAAGAGAATACAGAAGTTACCGACGGAGCTGAATCGCAACCAAACGCCGACCAGACTCGAAGAGCGTCGAAGTCGCGAGGCAGAAGGGCGAGCCGCATCTCCAACGTTGAAGACGCTGCGGGCAAGGTGAAGAGGAAGCAACAGCGGTCTCGCAAAAAGCGTGAACCAACACCTGAAGGAGCGGATCTCATCGAAATCGCTCCAGCAGTTGTCAAAATGTCGGAATTGTGCAAGGATTTACGAACGGGGAGAATGTCTAAGCGGGAAACTGAATTGCGCAACATGGAGCTCGCTGAGCAGGAACGCAAGCGAGCTCAACAAGAGGAGGAGAGCCAAGCGCCAGTCCCTCTCAAACCGAACGCGGATGCTACATCCCCCGCGGCGGAACCTGATATCGGCCTCGACAAAAAGCCACAGGCCGGTCCTGTGATGCGAATCGTGAATGGAGAGATTGTGCTTGATGCCGCTTCCCTCCAGGTCGACCGTTACGCAGATGCGGCGAGAAATGCGGGGGAGCTAGAGGATGTGGTGGAAAGCTCTCTTACTCGGAAGATCAACCAAGCCACATGGGGAAAACGGTCCAAGACAGAATCATGGGATGAAGAGATGACGGATCTATTTTACAGAGGCTTGCGAATGTTCGGCACCGATTTCATGATGATCAGCAAGCTGTTCCCTGGGAGGTCGAGACGTCAGATCAAGCTGAAATTCAACAATGAAGAGCGGCGCGCTCCGGAACGAATCAAGGAAACGCTGTTGGGTCCGCGGGAAACAATTGATATCACGACGTATTCCGAAATGACCAATACTGTGTATGATGACCCCAGAGTGGTTCAGCAAGAGTTGGATGAAGAGAAGAAACGGATTGAGGAACAACATGCAAAGGAAAAGCAGGCTCAGGAGGATTTGCTTCGAAATCCAGACGGCGCGACTGGTGGTGGTACCGCACCAGGGCTAGATAACCCCAGTAACGTGCCCGTAAAGGGCAAACGAAACAACAAAAGACAGGCGATGAGAGCTGTGGGAGGCGGAACTGAAGAAGTGATTGGCACGATTGATGACCTTCCTTGATTATTTAGGCGCTTTGCTGGGCGGAGTTTGGTAGAAATTGGGGGGTGGGCGTTTAGGGCTGTCTTTGTGTTGCATGGCTTTGAGAATTGGATCACGATCACGGCCTGGTGCCTTTCTGCTGTCTACCAGGGTGGCTCTTATCGGTGTTGCTTCTCGCTTCATGGGAGCTTGTAATATCATAACTAGGCTGTCCAACACATGCTAGGTTCGTCAAATGCAGCGTCTAGGTAGGTTATGACAGTTAGCGGTATTAGGGGAACGAATCAATTCTAATGTCCGCGATTCTAAGCATTATCTTCGTCTTGTTGAGCCGAATCCCGTACTCTCCGTGGTAGCCGAAAACCGAGGAGGGGAACGCGGCCGTGTGGTGCTTTCTCTCCAGGGCTCGTGGTCATCCCATCTTCTAGAAGATGACTGTCTGTCGCTATGCCGATTGCTTCTCCTACCCATCTCGTAGCCGGCCATGCCACCAGCCGCAGCACCGGTCCAAAAGCCCGGTCTCCACCCTGGCTGCGATGAACATGAACTACTATCTGGAAAGCTGCTGTATGGAGGAGTTGGCCCAGGATAAGGCCCATAGTCATTTCCTCCTCCTCCACCACCACCTCCTCCTCCTCCCCAAAATCCGCCCCAACCTCGTCCGACATTGGTCCTTCTTCGACGACCTCGCAGCCCAAAACAGGAGCGGACCATAGGCCATAAAATCATAACGAGAACCGCAGCCCAGAACCCTAAGAAAATTAGGTCGACTAGAGAATCCATGCCCCGGCGCCACCCTTTTGTCGCGCGCGGGATGGACCGCATGTCATCCTCTTGTATCTTGCCAAATCGCCTCTCCCCGCGCTCCGTCAACAGTAACCGGTATTCGACACCACAGCTGCCCTTCAACACCCACTTGTCATCAGCATTTCGGTATCCCTCGCAGATCACATCTGTTGCGCCCAGCATGAATTCCTCCGGAAGTGGTGCAGTACAAGTCCACTGGACATCTTCTTCGTCGTAGTCGTATCCAGCATTTGTGCATCGCATAGTCTCTATCTTGTACTTGTCACAGATGGTCTTTGAGGGTCCCACGCATTTCAGCTGTGGAATCGGGGAAACACGGCGAGAGGACGTGAGACGATTGGCGCGGAGTGTCAGCGACTGTACTCGCGAGAGGAGTATGGCATTTGGCCCGGGCGGCGATTCTGAAGATCTACCGTATGCGAGCCCTGGGGGAGCAAAGCATAGAAGCCATAGTAGCAGTGAGTTAATGCCTAAATAGTACATTCTGCGAGTTAGATATTTCCGTTCTGTGAGGAGTATTTTGTAGTCGCAGGAAAATTAGTTTTCAGGCATCTTAATATGAGCACAAAGGTGAGGCAGAACCAGCCAGCTGGTAATATAGTACAGATTCTTAACGATCGAACATGGATGACTGCGAAAGCTCAACGTGTCCTTACACAGAGGCGTGAGCTCGTGGGTCATTTTGGAGTCCAATCGCGATATGGATGTGATAAGCAGCTGATCCATCTTAGACTAGCCTTGGCCGAGGCCGACAGGGTCCGTCATTCGTCATTCTTTTTTGGCCTTGAAATTGGTCTTCCAAGTTCCAACACGTTGGATTCTTCAATTGCAGTGTCGCTTGTTGTAGCAATGGGGTTATGGAAAGCACCGGATAACATATACAGCAGCTGAAAATGTCTTCTCAGCTAAGTGCGATTGATCCGATTCCGTTTGTTGATGTGATCCAAGACTGACAACACTGAACTAGACGACCCCACGCCTATCCCGGCTCAGTCCTCGTACGTCAAGATCACCGTGCATTTTAAGGCCGCTGAATAGCTGATGAAGTAGGAGTAGTTTATCGTTTACACAAGGGTTCTTGCTGGGACAGCTCTCCGTCGTGCTTCTCATTGCTGCCTTCATCAAGTTCTTCATCTTCGGCGAAGCACCACCTCCGCCCTCTCGCGGCCTTTCTCATCGTTCGGCGACTCATCGGCGTTCCAATTCGATTTACAGCAGCACACAGCATGATGGAAACACAAGAACATTGAGAGAAAAGCCATCTAACTCGAACGTCCTACGTCCGGTACCGTCCTCCGCGACCAACACCCGATCCATCCTGCGAAAGACCTACTACACTGCAATCCCCACCAATCCCTCCTCAAAACATGGGCGACACAGGATACACCATTCTTCGCACCAGCCAGAATCTTTGGACTGGTTCAATGTCCTCATAGCTCAGACCATTGCTCAATACAGACAAACAGCATATCTGTTGAAGGACTCGCCGACATCATCAATCCTCAGCTCGCTAACGGCGGCCCTGAATAACCCCGAGAAGAAGCCATCATTTATAGATAAAATTACTGTGACGGATATATCTCTAGGGGAGGAGTTTCCGATCTTTAGCAATTGTCGGATCATTGCTGTGGATGACCCAAATTCTGATGGTGGACGCCTTCAGGCACTGATGGACGTCGACCTGAGCGATGACAATCTCTCCATCGCTATCGAGACGCAGCTGCTCCTCAATTATCCGAAGCCATGCTCTGCTATTCTTCCCGTGGCACTCTCCATTTCCGTTGTCCGCTTTTCCGGGACCCTTTGCATATCACTCGTCCCCGCTTCCACACCTCCACTCGACACTCCATCCCATTCCCCATCTCCCCCTACCGCCCAGACAACAACGACTGGACGCTCAAAGCGTGAAGATCAGACGGGTGGAAGTCACTCTCGCGCAGGTGGCTCCTCGGAGGAACCCAGCGGTGAAAATCCGCCGAAAACCAGTCCAAAGAGCAACGTTGCGTTTTCCTTTCTTCCAGACTATCGACTTGACCTCTCCGTGCGGTCGTTGATCGGCTCTCGTAGCAGACTCCAGGACGTACCTAAAGTCGCTCAGCTAGTTGAAGCCCGTGTTCATGCATGGTTTGAGGAGCGCGTCGTCGAACCTCGGGTGCAGGTCGTGGGACTGCCGGACCTCTGGCCTCGCATGGGCAGAACAGGCGTACGGACCGGCGATGATTCGGAAACGGGCTCTAATGCGCCGCGGAGTAGCACAGCGGCGGATGCCAGCGGGCCTGCCCATCACGAGGACTCGTCTCGCGAACCAGAGGTGCTCAGGTTTGGATCACTATTGGGCACACGTCCGCCGTTTGACCTTGCTTCCCGAACGAGCAGCTTCAATGTTGAAACTGGCGACCTCCGCAGTCGCAGCATGACGCGGGAAGAGAGCAGTGGTAACTTGAGCGATCAATTCCACATGCCTGGCTCTCTGCCAGGAGGTGGTGTAACTACAACTTGAGTCAATATTTTGACCGCTAGATTAAAAGACATAAAAATGACATGTTTCTCATAAGCGCCTGGGAATTTTATAGTCGTTGTACGTGAAAAGTGTCGTGATCTATCAAACTGCTATGATATATACAAATCATCAGTTTGGAAGCTAAAAGCACCAGAACCTGGTGGGAAGCCGCAGTCTGTCCCCCTTCAATCAATCATGCCTCCTGCCCATGCTGGAAATTAGCGTCATCAATGGAAAGAAAAATCTCTAAGCAACGGCCTTGTTCTGGACCGTGCGGAGGTAAGACTGCCGATGAGAGTTCTCATCGACATCAGGGCCACGGTTCAAGGGGGTCCATTTAGGCTCTTCCTGGAAGAGGCGCATAGCCTTGACGTACTGCGAACGAAGGAGTCAGCAAGTTGGCACTCAAAAGTGTAGACAAGATAAGCTCATGGAAACCAACATTCTTGTCATCTGTGGTAAAACGATGGTAGATACCAGCGGGAAGAATGATCAAGTCATCCTTCGCCAACTTGATCCGAACCCATTCGTCCTCCTGACCACGCACGTCAAAGTAACCCTCGCCATCACGGATGTAGCGGATCTCCTCGTCTTCGTGCAGATGCTCATTGAAGAACATCTTCACCTTCTCCTCGTACACATCACCCATCGTCTGTGGCGAAACGACAATCTCATCGCGATTCTTGTACCCACGTTCCTTGGCCAATTCATTGACAGACTCGAGGGAGGGGAAATGATAGTACTGGACTCCAATGGAGGCGAGGTAGTCCACCGTCACCGGGCGGCCGGAGTCATGGGGTTCACGCTGGTCGCCCTATTGTAATCTCAGTCTCTGCCTGATAAGAAAAGGAGCCATAGTCTCAGATAATGGAACCTACTGGTTTGTTGTCATACCAATAAGCCTTCATGGTGGGATGCTTCTTCTCTGCACGACCGCCAACAGAGTATATTTTGCGTTCGGATAGGAGTCAACAGGTCAATAAACTCAACAAAGTATCTCTTATCCTATCAGCGCGAAGATATAGAAGATTGAAAACCCATGTAAGGGCCTGCGGGGCATGAAAAAGCAGCCCCGCAACAAGTTGATCGCGCAAATCACGGGCAATATTGCTTATTTGCATTACGTCCGGTCTTCCACCGCCTTCGGAAATAAATGGCAATAAGAAAATATCGGCCACGTGATCCAGATATCCGCCAGTATTTTTCCATGGCCACAATGCAGTTTACTGTTCTGGTGTAGAGTCGTCCTGACTAAAAAGCAGTGATCATGGCTTTCCGGGCACGGTCAGTGGCTCTTTGGCGATGGGGCTCTGCTCCTCGGTCCCGGGTCATGGGCCTCACACGAGGCATGGCCACGGTTTCTGATGGAACCCGGTATGGTTACCCCAGCACCCTTACCCTAGTCGCCTCTGCACGGTACTAACTTTCAGCACATAGGGCATACGATGTCGTCGTTATTGGAGGAGGCCACGCTGGTTCCGAGGCCTCTGCAGCTGCCGCTCGATCTGGCGCACGCACCGCATTGGTTACGCCCTCGCTTTCGAACATTGGCGTTTGTTCATGCAATCCGAGTTTTGGAGGAATCGGGAAAGGAACAATGATCCGTGAAATTGATGCCATGGATGGTGTGGCAGGGCGAATCATTGACAAGGCCGGTATCATGTTTCGCATTCTCAATCGATCCAAGGGACCTGCTGTATGGGGTCCGCGCGCTCAGATCGATCGGGATCTCTACAAGAAGTACATGCAGGAGGAGCTGGTCGCTACCGAAGGGCTGAGTATAGTGGAAGGCAAGGTCGCAGATATTGTGGTGTCAAAAGAGGGGGTGGAGAACATCCCGGGATCGCAGGGCAAGATTGTCGGAGTACGGCTCGAATCCGGAGAGGTGATACCTACTGGGCGCGTCGTCATCACAACTGGAACGTTTCTCGGTGGAGAAATACACATTGGACTTGAAGCGTACCCTTCGGGGCGTATGGGTGAAGCGGCTACGTTTGGGCTCAGCAAATCCCTTCGCGAAGCGGGTTTCCAGCTTGGTCGTCTGAAGACCGGGACTCCTCCTCGTTTGGACTTGAAAACGATCGACTTTCCGCCATTGGAGATTCAGAGAGGCGACTCACCTCCGCAGCCTTTTTCGTATCTTAACACGACGGTTGATGTTGGCGATGAAGGTCAGCTTACGTGCTGGATGACCCACACCAACGAGGCTTCGCACGAGATTGTGCGCGCAAATCTTGACAAATCGATTCACATTCGCGAGACCGTGCGAGGGCCGCGCTACTGCCCCTCATTGGAATCGAAGATTATACGTTTTACGGATAAGAAACAGCACCAGATCTGGCTCGAACCGGAAGGATTCGCACCGAATGAGGTCGTCTACCCGAATGGTATCTCGATGACCATTCCGGCAGACGCACAATATGCCCTGCTACGCACGGTCCGCGGTCTTGAGAACGTGCGCATGCTGCAGCCCGGCTACGGTGTGGAGTACGACTACATCGATCCCCGCAATCTCCGCCCGACTCTGGAGACAAAGCTGATCAGCGGCCTGTATCTTGCAGGCCAGATCAATGGAACAACCGGATATGAAGAAGCTGCAGGACAGGGTATCATCGCCGGTACGAATGCCGGTCTGTCTGCTCAAGGCCGACAGCCTTTCACTCTCACCCGGTCGGACGGATTTATCGGAATCATGATCGACGACCTCATCACCAAGGGAGTATCCGAACCCTATCGTATGTTCACAGCACGAAGCGAATATCGCATCTCGACTCGCTCCGACAATGCCGATCTGCGACTCACACGTATGGCTCGTGACGCGGGAGTGGTGTCGGACAGGCGGTGGCGTTACTTCACCGACACAGAAGCGCAAATCAAGGAGCTGCAGAACCTCCTCGCCAACACGAAACTCTCATCTACTGTGTGGTCGCGCAAAGGATTCAAAACTCGGACTGATAGCTCTGTCCGCTCGGCGCTCGACCTCCTCTGCCTTGACGGTGTGGACATCGACGCTTTGATCCCTCACATCGAATCGCCATCAGGTATGGCATACACACCCTCGTCATTCGACTCCATAATCCGAACCCGGGTCAGCATTGAAGGTCGCTACGCCCCTTATGTCAAGCGGCAGGAAGCAATGGCGAGGAAGTTCCTGCAGGATGAGAGCCTCATCCTGCCTCCGGACTTGGACTACTCAAAGGTCCAGGGTATCAGTACCGAGGAAAGACAGGCCCTCGAGCGCGTCCGACCCGTTAGTGTGGGAATGGCGAGGCGCATCGAAGGAGTCACGCCAGCGGGTGCTCTGCGGTTGCTGATGCACGTTCGCAGGACCATGGACACGAGCAAAGAATCACTCGACGCAGACGCGATTGAAAGCTCTGCGGAGAGCGTGTTGCGTGGATCTGTTTGAGAGTGCATGATGCAGCGATGTTCACTCATCTAGGAAGCTTGTACGATTAAAGTTGGGCTTATCGTTTATTGGGAAACTGCATGGCGCATGGGATGGTACAGCGACTGAAATATTTTAGGGCTTGTTGATCTTTGCATTGGACATTGTGGCATACTATTCTAAGTTATACCTACTCTGTATACTCTCGGAGGTCTCGCCTCAACAACACATATCATGTATTCCTGGTCTCCAAACTCGGAATATATCCCTCTCTATCTACTATTTAAAGAGCAGAATAATAGACGAGCAGAACACTCCGAGACTTAAGGGTAATGATTGAATTGATGATCATAACCAACGTGGTAGGTCGAACAGACTTTCCGCAAACCGGGAGACCATGACTCTTCTATGATGATCATCAGCTGTGATTATTTTATCCCGTCCAATTAATTAGCCATTCCAATTATCCAAACCCCCAGTCTACGCCACGTACATAGCAGTCTAATCTCACTTTTGTTGCAATGTCAGCTTAGTTATCTATCTATCTCTCTATCTTTCCTTGACCTTGGACTTGCTCGTTTTCTTCTTACATACTATTCCCACTTCCCAGCGTCTAAGTATATTCACTCACGCCGCAATTCTGCATCGACCGTCAGCGCATTACCAATCTTCCACTATAGTGATTGCTCTTGAATGTCTCTTGCACTGCGCTCATAAAATCTTTCTGGGGCGTCGCAGGTGCTAGCGCGTCGGGTGCGCAAACTTTAGCAGCCCCTGAGCTTTCGTATCTTGTGCGACGAGGTGCACTCGCTGGAAAAAGGTTATCACTCAGCTTCGCCGGCGAAGGCGACTGCTCACCCTCGTCTTTGCGCTCGCACCTCGACTATAATGTCAGTACCACGGATGTATTCGCGAGTGCGCACGCTACTGTTTGCACTATTTCTTGCATCAGTCTTCACCTGGTCGTTCGCGCGATGGCGATCTGTCCCAGTCAAGCCAGTCAACAAAAACCCTTCCTCCGTTGATAGCGACGGTGTTGGAGTCTTGCATTCTACAGATGGTCATATTCATTTCTGGCAGCAGTTCCAGCCACTTTTGGCAAAATACCAGCCGAAATGCGACCCGCCCACGCGACTCGGCAATGCGCCGTCTGTACGGTTCGAGGAAGCGAAGCCGGAAGACCGACGGGAGTATCTCGACATGCTACCGGATAAAGTGGAGGCCATGAAGAACGCGCATACCGGGTTTGTCCGCGACATCAAGAGCAACCCGCCGCAACTACACTATGTCCCCAACACAAGGGGCCTGGTCTCGACAGCAGGAGGTTCATACCTGCCTGTTCTGGTCATTTCTCTTCGAATGCTCCGGAAAACAGGCTCAGAACTTCCGGTAGAGGTCTTTTTAGCAAACGAAGAGGAGTATGAGGAGTATATATGCGATGTGGTTTTGCCGTCTCTGAATTCCCGATGTGTGGTGCTGTCGCATATTCTCGATGCAGTCCCCAAGATCATGCAGATCGAGAAGTACCAGTTCAAGCTCTTCGCGATGATGTTCTCGTCTTTCGAAGAGATCCTCTTCTTGGACGCGGACGCCTTCCCGCTAGAGAAACCAGACATCCTTTTCACGAACGAGCCCTTCCGGTCGAAGAATATGGTCACCTGGCCGGATTTCTGGGCCGACACCATCTCGTCATACTACTACCAAATCGCATCGAAGCCGATGCCCCCAAGCACCATTCGCCAGTCGACCGAATCCGGCGAGCTGCTCCTCTCCAAGAAGACACACTCGAAAACGCTCCTCCTGAGCACGTACTACAATTTCTGGGGCCCAGATTACTACTGGGCCCTACTGTCACAGGGCGCAGCCGGAGAGGGCGACAAAGAGACCTTCGTCGCAGCCGCTCTGACAATGGACGAACCGTACTACCAAGTCAGCGAGCCCATCGTCGCTATCGGCCACCGCACCAAATCTGGCCTGGCCGGCTCCGCAATGGTCCAATTCGACCCTGTCGAGGACTACGCCCTGACACAGAAGGGGGAATGGCGCGTGCACGGCTCAAAAGCTCCCGCGCCCCGCGCTTTCTTCATCCACGCAAACTTCCCCAAGTTCAACCCCGCCACGGTCTTCGACGAGCAAGCTGTCAAGCCGACCTTTGAAGACGACGGCAGCTACACGCGCGCCTGGACGATCCCCGAAGAGGTAATTGGGAAGTTCCGCACGGATGTGGAGAAGCAGTTCTGGAGGGAGGTCTTGTGGACGGCGTGCGAGCTCGAAACCAAGTTCCGGTCCTGGGAGGGGCGTGAGGGTATATGCCAGCGAGTCAAGGACTACTGGAACGCGATGTTCCCCACGCAGCCGGTCAAGACATGAACTGGTGTCACTGGAGGTTGACAACTCGAACCGAACCTTTGATGTATGTGGCCGTAACCGTGGTGCTGGGACACGCTTCCATCTTTCCAGCATCCTACGGCGGCCAGGAGGCCACTTCGTCAGTGACCAGGACTCTGATTTAGGCCATGGCCAAACTCCACGATGTGGAGCGACGCTAATATGAAACCATACTCAAAGTCTGTGCTTTCATATGCACTAGGGCGAGCCAACAACCTCGCCAGCTTTACGAATGTGTAACCGCTCGAAAAGGCAATCGAGTCTGTCCATATACTTGTTCCATTGATCATTATCTTCTACGAAACCACTTCGCATCTATCGGCCTTTTTCATCGGCTGCTACACGACCTTCTCCCGCAGAGAAAAAGCTACGAGAAACCGGAAGACCCATGCTTAACGCTTTTCGCTTCATTTGCAAATATCAGGTCTATACTGCCCCTTTTTATGTACATTAGCAGGTCATATACACTCCAGCCATGCAAATATTTACCACAACTTGCAGTAACCCATCAAACGAAACATAGGAGACGACGGGATCGAGTCTTATCGCCCTGCGCCGAAGGATACAATTTCTTCCCTGAACCATCTATACACTATGCACAAAGTTCGAGAAGACTTCACTTCTTCCCGCTAGCTCTTCTTGCAAGGCGCTTTTGTACTTCCTCCTTAGTGAGGATCTTTACTGCGTCTTTAGAGAAGACGTAGCTGAGCCCAGACCAGATCGTAGTGGATGCAACGAGGTACCTAGGTAGAAAGTTAGGATGCGATGCGATTGAGTTGTAATAAAAAATAAAGAAAAGTAGAAGCAAGAAGAAATATGTAGATGAAAATGATTTGCGAAAAGCAAAAACGTACAACAGCCGGGATTCGCTGGTGGTCACCCACCCAACTACTAACCGGCCGGCGTGTGGCTTAAGTACGGCTGAGCGGACGGGAAGCCCTGTTTTCCACACCCTATGGTCGTACGTGCTGGAATTGCAGCTGACAACAACCATATGCGCAGGGACTTCGCATTCTCTTCCAGAATTCAAAAGAAATAATGGTGAAAAATGATAACAATTGAGCAGAAGAGGATTCAGTTGTACTTACTGCAACGCTGTCATTCCTTCTCGGAGATTCCATGCGTCGAGGACTGCCTCTGGGATCACTGGTAATGCGATCGCAGAGCCCACAAGCACAAGCTGCAAAGCTGTGTTGACTTTGGAGATGCCCGTTGGCTTGACTTCTGCAGAGGGAAGGGAGAAATCCCAGTATCGTGCCATGGTCTTTGGCGGGGGTAGAGATATCCAGCGATAGTAGATTGCCGACAACGCAAGGCCAACATCGCGACCGAGGATGATTACCGCAAGCCATACTGTTCCCAATCAGTGACTGCCAAGAAGAAATAAGGAAGATCCCCTTGTGCGATATCCCATGAGACGACAAGGACAGCATCATCAGATAGACGAGGAAACCTACCAGGAATAGAACCATTGACAGCCAAGCAAGCAACACCAATGGTCATCAACAGTTTATCGGCCATTGGATCAATAATGGTACCAACGACAGTTTGCAGGTTATACCGTCGGGCAATATAGCCGTCCACAAGATCTGTGAGACCAGCATAGACGAATAATGATAGTGCAGCTGCATGATGATCATGAACGAGGAAGTAGCCCACTAAGGGAGCTGCAACTAGACGGGAAAATGTGAGGATATTGGGAACGGTGTAAATGTTCTCATGAGTAGGAATAGGAATCTTGGAGAGGATTGGAGACTTCTTCGGGCCGGATTGAGGACTACACATGGTTAAATCTCAACAACGGCACCGACAGGCGCAGACATCAATACTCACTTTTGAGAGGAGTTCTCCATCTGATCATCCGGTCTTTTTGAGCCTGACCATCTCCTCTGTTGATTAAGTGGTCCACAGAGAGGCTCGATAGCACGGAACATATAGCCCGTGTGTCTCGCGAACCTAGCAACTGTTAGGCTCCACGAAAGATTTAGCTAAATAGGCCATATACATACTTATCTTGTATGTATCTGGGACGAGCTGATGGAGTGGATACCGTCAAAGTGTGTAGGTTCTTCCACCCGGCGCTTTGCCATCCTCTGCAGGCGGCGGATGTCGATCCGAGTGGACGAAAGATGGTTCCTCGCCATAAGTTTGAGGATTGTCTGAGTGCTCGAATGGGCACCGGCAGGAGAGTATTAGTTGCCATGATGACCCCTGACAATCAATGGCACAAGAGATGAGAAGAAAAGCGCTTGGCAAAATGTTGAGATCTGTTCAGAGGTCTGGTTCAGTGCATATGTCTCGGTTGGCAAATTTCCCTAACTCAAGACAGCCGTTGGGACAATAACATAATCAATTAATTCTGGCGTTCATGTGTTCGTCAAAAATATGCTGTCAACTGAAAACCCATATGCTGCGATGGGGTCACCAATCAAAAATGTAAGTCGGATTCAAAGATATGCACGATGACAGAACGAAAGTGAAGGCTCTTGTGGCAAATGTGAACGTAACAAGAAGTGAGACACAGCCTATTCAGGCGACGAGTTGGATAGTCAGCAATATATTTCTTGGACTTTGAATTTATGGTGATGACCGGAATATAACCCGATTGTAAGCAACTCAACGGCGGTCTCGGGTCAGAAGATATACAGGTGACGGTGGGACCAGACAGCGGCCACTACAGACCGGCTGGATCCCAGTTGAGCCCGAAAAACCGCACGAATGCTTGTGTCGCAATGGAGCAAGAAAATAGTTTCAAATGTATACAAATCGAGGCTCGTGACCACCTTTTTCTTTCTGGGGAAAGGAAAATGAGCACGGAGAAAGTGTTGTTCCGAGTAAGTCATGTGATTGTTTCCGACGTCGTCGTACATTGGAATCTGGGGTAGACCTTTGGACGGACATCACGATGGTGAACTATCCTCAGTATACTAGGACACCATGGAACTTCCTTCTTTGCTAATGTCTGAGTCATTATTTGATAGAAGTAAGATGTCAATCACACCGGTCGTGGTGTAACCGCCTCATCTCTCGTTCCTGAAGTGCAAATCATAAGGCAAATTGACACAAAACTAATGAGCTTTGAGATTGGGAGTGATAGACTCATACTTGGTGCAGACAGGAGTCAGTAGATGGAAATAGGAAATGGCTCAATGATGGTTGTCCATGGCTCAGGGATTTCATGGGTTGCTTGTGCTACGACGTTGAGATATATACAGAGATATATACTTCGATGTTCCTTGGTCACCTCGAAAACACAATAGTCACCTATATCGTTCCCAAATGTTGCAAAGAATGGATAAGAGTCATTAGCTCTCCACCTGACCTCTCAGGTCAACAAAACAACACATTCACTGGCACATTCACCACGTCCGTAGTAGCACATCCATCCGTCTCTCATCTGACTGTAGATCCCTTTCTCACCTGACTCCAGCCATGAGCATCTGTCCACAAGCTCAGGTTTCGCCTTCAAGTTTGCCCAAGTAAGTTAAAAGTAGAGCACTCTGCATCTGACACTCGTCAACTAACCTCATAACCAACGATGTTGATTTACAGACTGTTCGCGGATCCGTACTTCCATTCGCTCATGGATCCACAAGCAAGAAACGCGACCTCGAACATAGGACTTTGACACGAAGCAGCCATTTTCGGCTACCTGATACGACAAGAATAAACCTTGGGATGCCAATCATGAACGGTCCAGCGCCTCCTGCGCCGCTGCCTCGCGACTCTGCCGTCCCTGGCAACAAGCAAAAGAAACTTGAGACACGCAACACAGAACCCCAGATCCCTGCAGATCCCAATCTGGCAAACCCACGACTATTGCTCAACGGAGCCTGTATCTACGAGCGTCAACTACCCGGCGATGCATACATCACGGCGCATGTCCAGCGACTGCAGCATGGATTCTACTCCAGCCCTGCCGTTTCCGACAAGGACTATGATCACGTAGACTTCCTGGGGATCAATTTCGTCTTCCACTCACCCAACACTTTGGCGCATCGGTTCAAGGCGGCGACAATTCGAGCGTCTGTGCAGGGCACCCGACACGTCGCTTCGTCGGACCATTACCCGAACGGCTACCCGCCGGGAAACCCGCGCTTCCTCATGCATGCACCACATCTGATCTACGGCGCTATATCACCAGAGACACTGCAGTGGAACTACAGCTTGACCGGATCACTGGGAGTCGTTGACTTGCCGGTGATGGCGAGCCTGTCCCCTACCGGTGGTATTAATGGCCGATACAGACGCTATGAGATGATGAGAATCCAGGGATCAGTCCGGACTCTGAAGAGCCCACGAGGGCGCAAGTTCGACATCGAAGCCGGGGAAATTGTCTGGTCGCTGGAGGAGAACAGTTTGCAGAGATCGGGCCTGCCGCGGGAGTTCACCTTTGCCATGCTGATCCAGAAGCCGCGCGCAGACAGCCGCATTGTTTTCTCCCTGGACATCGAGCCGACCCTGCAGTCGTGGTACGGCAGCTACCCGGACTGGTGGTTATCTTTGCCCAAGTATCAGCCTCAGCGTCGACGGCCTGTGGACTTTAGATCAGAGGTCGGACAGCGCTTTGAGCCCGTTGCATCAAAGAAAGGATTCAATTTCGCGACTCTTGAAAGCTCTTTCGATGACTATGTGAGCATGCCGGGGAAGAGACTCGCATCTGTTGTAAGTCCCAAACCCCAATGATAGGAAACAAAGTTGACGCTGACGACCACAGATCCCATCTGACGGAGGAGTGCTGCAAGACGACGACGACACCCTTCAAGACACCAACCATGACCGCACCATAGTCGAGCCGATACGGGGGGTCGCAAGATTCGCATACCCCAATACCCTCGCCGGCGCAGCAGCAACAGCAACCTCAGCACCAGCGTCTAGCGAGCCGGCCCTCATCGCACGCCGCAGAACCCTCATCTCAGACCCGAGCGCCCTGACCATCCACCTCCTGATGGACAACCAGATGGCCTCGCACCTGTCAAGTCTGCGCGGGAGTCGTCCCTCACCCAAACTCACCACCCATAGCGACATTCATGGCAACAGTGCTGCCAAGCAGGATACAGCTGATCGCCGAGAGTCCCCGAGGGCACTGCCAGCAGCCACCATCCCAGAACCGCCTCAGCGCCGAACAACCCTCCGCAGGACAAGATCGCGAGAAGGACTAAATCGGAATTTGAATCTGGATCATCATCACCCGAAACGGCGTCCCCAAGTATCTGACCGGCGTTTTAACTGATGCCCCTTTTTTTTTTATTTTCTTTTTTTTCCCTCTCTTATCAATATCAGGGCAGTTTCACATCAAGCGGCTCACATGACCAAGTGACGACGCGGGGGTCCGCATATCCATTCAGTCACATGAGGCGCAACACATCGACATCCACAGCCACACCAGCTGCCTTACGTACCTCGATCCGAATGAAATGGAATGATCACCACACACTGCGATACCTACCATAAGGTACCTATCTATCTACGTAAGGCACCCAGGTAGCCAAGCGCATAACCTGGTCCCACCAATCAAGGTCCCCAAAGCGGGTCCTGCTGATCCGCGTCTCCCGGGTCCAAGCACCCCTGATTCGCTGACCCAGGACCCGACGGGCTACGGGACAAATCGGCCCACCGGCGAATGATCTGCACCTGGAAGCAGGCTATGTCCTATGTCACGTACTGTATCCGTCATACACTGAAAAAAAAGACGAAGTTCAGAATGTAGATTTCGCAGATTGATTTCTGGTAGTGCTAGGTCGACGAGTCCATGGGTGAGAGATTGTTTCATCATGACTACCTAGACTAAGGGAGAGCTACACTGTACCATAGAATAGATACTGTGTGGACAGCGGATAGCGGACGGGTGGCCTAGAGCGGTGGATCTGACAATGGCCTATTCAATTTACCTCCCGAGTCTATCCTTGGAGAGTAAGAATGAAGGTTTTCTAGACTGCAGTCTAGTACACACTAAGCATCGTATTTCAACGTCGAACGAAGAAATACAGATGATCATGAAGCAGCAGTCAAAGGCTTTGGAAAGAAGCTGACTGGCAAAAATCGAACATTAGTGATGATGTAATCCATCCGTTCCCTCGAGATGTTACATGTAAGGAATGGAGACATGTCACGTAGCACCTTTGTTTCAGCACCAGGAATATGGGGCTGGGCGATTGGTTGAACTATTGAAAGTATGATATAACCTCCGCTGGCAGACCAGAATACAACCGATCAGAGAAAGGGCAAAAAGACATCAATGTGACCTGGCTTATAATCGGCCTGCGGGGATGCTCTCAGTTCTCGAATACACCTAGAGCCTCTCTCCGGAAAAAGAGCAATAAGGATATAATAGCTTAACAAAGCAGGAACGGGACTGGAAAGGAAAACAGGAAAAGAAATCAGATAACCACCCAGACCGAACCACCCAAACCGCGACATTGCTCATAATCATATAAAAGACGGTGCAACTGAACCTGAATGAAGGACCCTCCGTAACAGTGCAGGAGAAAAGAATAAAGATCACAGTTGGCTAAGAACGAAAAGATTTTGATGTGTATCATATCGTCGTAGAAGACAACACAGCAAAACATGAAAGAAACAACCTCCGGTATCTTCTCTAAGAGCAGAATCCCATCCGAGTAAACATCCATACCGTGCATGCAGCATCTATCCCCAAATCGCCGCCCTCAGAGATATAATGTGAAGAGAAAAGAAAACGGGGTAATCATAGGAAGGGTGCGCGAAACAAATAGAAAGGAAAAAATAAGGGAATATAGAAGGGTAGCGCGGCGAAGTTACATTTGCGGCTGAGCTGGAGCAGCCGTGGTCCATGTCGAGACAGGGTAACTCGCATGAGCGGCCGGCGCCGTCGCTCCCATGTAATACTGAGGCCTGTCGCTTCCCGTATAGTAATGAGCTGGTATAGACTCCCGACGAGGAATACTAGGATCGAACGCTGGCGCAATGCCACGCTGCTCGGGTGGTTGTTGCGATGGCCCATCCATGTGGCCCGAGAGACTGAAACTGTTCCCTCGAGAGAAGGTCGCTGGGGTGGAAGGATCGATTGGCGATGTCACGTCCGTGGCAACACTGCGCGACGAGATCGAGGAGTTTCGGTAAGCCGACACACTTTGATCCGATGTAGAGCGATTGCGCTCGCTCAGAGAACTAGGTATGGTGCTGTTCAGGGTGGAAGGCATGGATGAAGATAATGGCGCATGGTTGATTGAGTCAAAACTGGTCCCATACGGACTTGGAGCTGGGTTGGGATTTCTGTACTGCGGATAGTCCTCCGTCTTCTGCTGAACATGCGCGGGTGCGGAAGGGGCAGGAAGGTACGGATTTTGTGCGGGCTGTGCGGGCATCGAACTTCCAATGGAATATCCAGGGATCGGTGCAGACTGTGGTGCGTGAGAGGCAGTGTAAGGCGCCGTATGCAGATAAAACTCAGGGTGGGGATTCGGCATGGCGTATCCAGGAGGCGCCATCAGCTGTGGCCGATACCCATAAATGGCATGAGACGGATCATTCGGATTCTCAAGTCCACCTGTCTCCAGATCATCGATTGGAGCGCGGAAGCTCTGCTTCTGCGTCAGTTCCGCGCGTGGGCGGATATATCGCAGCGACTCCACCATCGACGGCGGATTCAGAACGCCCCGCATCACATCCTCAACGCTGTAATACGACACCAGGTGGTGAGTCACCCCAGAGACAGTTACGCTCATTGTCTTCTTGACCAGCCCCGAATCCTTGAAGCCGTATGAATCCACCAGGGAACCGACCAGTGCCCGTTCCACGTCCGATTGATGCGACCGATCGCCAAACGACCCAGATGTCGACGAGGGAGAATAAGATCCACCGTTGCTATCGTGACGTGGGTAGGGTTCGCCAGGCCTCGCAGACGGCACCGGACGTCGGTTGGCCTTCTTCATCGCTCGTTTCTTTTCTCCTGGTGGGAACGGCTTTTCAAGCTCACGATAGACTAGAAAGTTGCCCAAGATGCGACTGGGACTCCACGTAACTCCATCTGTCCATCGTTTGATCCCTGACGAGTTCTCTTCGTAGATAAACACACTGCCGCTGCGGACGAGATGGCTCCTTTCGCGATCATGAGGTCGACGAGGAACGTGATGTAGGATGCCCGTCAAACAGGCCTCGAACAAGATCAGTGCATCTTGAGTCGTTGCGACATACCCCGTGAACGTGGGTTCCAACACCGCAGCGGTGCCGTTCACCATCTTTCCGTTCCTTTCGTTCCCAAATTGATGGTGGAGGTTGTAGTAGAGTTAGGTTAAACCTAGTTGACAGGGGAGGGGCCCAGAGAAGTAATATCAATCAGAGTTGAACCACTGCTGAATCAGAGTTTCAAGCAACGCGGCAAGGACTGCGATGTTTTCAGGAAGTTTAAAGAGATAGGGAGCGAGTGACCAGATCCCAACAGTTGTGGTTTCGCGCAACTGCTGGCTGGAAGGAGGTGAGTAATTCTTTCTTGCTTGTGTTCAGACCGATGATTTAGTTTTGGGCGCACAATATAAGGGGAGAAATTGAAAAAGAAGTGGAAGAGAGAGGGGTAAAAGAAAAGATGACAATGTTCGAGATGTATGTAGGTCAAGGTAGGGTAAGGTAAGGTAGAGAGTAGGTAGTAGTGACACTCCGGGGCAAAGTAAGTGGAAGCTCACGGCAAGGTCGAACCGTAGAAGAAGGGCCGATGGTGCAAGTTTAAAACTAGACCTCCCCCCTCTCTGTCTCTCCAGAGAGTCTAAAGTCTACCAGACTTTCGACGTTCTGCAACCCGGATCGACGACCAGCACGGGCCCCAGTTTCGTTTTGTTCCCTCAACTCTCCGTCTAGACGGAGGAGGCCACAACGAGCAAAAAAGGAAAGGAAAAAAAAAAAAAAAAAATTGAAAAGATTGGACCCGGGCTCTGAATTTCTGGAGACTGGAGACTTGATCCAATGGATCACTGGAACACTGGATAGACAGACACGGATGGAATACGCCTGGACCTAGTAGTATAAAAGCTGGGTCGACTGGAGCTTCTGGTTCCACGGGTAGCGATCGGATCGTATAGGTTGACTTGAGTCTTCCAACCACACAAAGTTGCGGTAATTCCCAAGCCTCTGAAGTTCTGGACTGGCCAGAGATAGCATCAGCACCTAGTTCACCTTTTTCGCATTTCCTTTTATAATTTGGGAATTTTGTGAGAGAGAAGAGGAAATAGCAGTGCCAAGTTCTTGAAGGAATAGGGGAGAAGGAATAGTAGAAACGAACAGTTCAACTGGTGCTGGAGTGGCTGTTCTGTAACTGTATCGCAGCAGGAGGAATGTCAGCCGATTTTATCCACCTTGGGACTCACGACAGCCACCAGTGCCATGCGAAACGAGGAGCAACGAGATGAACCTCCCCAGAATAAGCAAAGAGGGTAGAAAAAAAGAAAGCAAGCCTAGAACACGAGGTGAAGGAACAGAAGGAAAGTGATATGATATACTCCGTAGATACCTGGGAAAGAAGTCTCAACCTGGAGAGGGGGACCGATCTTAAAAGAATAATCGATGATGATCCGAGAAACAGTTTAAGCAATTCACATTAACATGCAAAAGAGCAAGGGTAAGATAGATAGGTAATGTCTGTCTCCTCACGGAGTGAGCACTCGTTTTGCTATTTCATATTTTATTTAATTTTGATTTTATTTTATTTTGATTTTTTTTTTTGCAACTCGTCAGAAAAATAGAAGAAAATAAAAAATAAAATAAAAAAAGAAAGAAAAGAAAAGCAAAGAAAAGTGGATTAGTATGCTAGCTACAGGAGAGTAGTAGGCTAGGACAAAGCCGGGTATGGTGTGGGAGAAGCAGCAGCAGAACTCCGTAGTTACAGAGTAGATGACTAGGTAATTAGCAGGCTTAGCAGCAGAAGAACTGGATAGTCGCAGTTAGTATTCCCGATAGACTTGACTATCCAGACTAGACTACGGAGTGCCTAGTTGATGGGCAGCTGAGGCCGTCGTGTGGGCGGGGCGACCCATGGTAATCCGGTAGTCAGGTAGGCCTGAGCAGCAGCCAGAGGCCCAGAGAGGGGGATGGATGAGGAGGCAAGACCATGATCGTTATCGCATTATGATTGGAAGGGAGGGAGAAATAATCGGGGTGGAGGCTAGGACGATAGGCTAGGTGCAACTAGTGAATCCCAAGTTCCCAAGTTTCCAAGGGGCTAGCACTTAGCAGAAAACGCCGCAGAAGACTAAGAGCCAAAGCCATGAGAGAAGATGATGGTGGATCACCATCCATGAGGCCATCACAGGATTCAACATTTCAATGGCCACCTGAGGTAAAAGGCCAAGAGCCACAGCACCAGCTATCGACGATGACCTTTTGGCTTAGGTATTCGATGATAATGGCCCACAAGAAAATAGGATAAATGGCACTTTGATACTCTGCACTGAGTGGAAAAGTAATAGACAGGATACAACTCGAATAAAAGCGAAAATGAGGGAGGGAAATAAGGGGCAGAGTAATAAAACAGAATTAAGAAGGGGAAAGAATTAAACGGCAAAAACGACACATAATGATGATGCTGTGAAGTCGTCCGCCAACACCAGCGGAAGGGTAGAGGAGGGAATGGGAAAAGGGACCAACCTAGCTTACTCCTACACTCAGCAGTCAATAGAAAGGAGGGAAGCAAGTGTGGGGATGGCAGAAGCAGGTACCGTGTTTCACTTGCTGGGGTTGTCTGGTAACTACCTAACCTTAGTAGTAATGACGTTTGATATATTTTCTTTTTCTTATGCTCATGTTCGTTGAAGAATGACATGGTATTTCCTATTATGGCAGACCCTTGTATGCGCAATAATAAAACTTCATAGTTCTATCCAGGTTCCAAAATCTCCCAGACCAACTGCGCTGGAAGAGGCGGGGAAAACAGTTTCGTACAGGAATAGTCGTCAGGACGGAGATTTCAGTTTCACTGACATTGACACTGGCTCTGCTTGGCACGAAGATGGACCCCCGAAACGCCTCGAAGATGTGGTTGAGCTCCATCCAGTAACTAAGAGGCAGTGACGGGATTGAGAGAGGTCGGCGCGGGGAAGAGTGGATAATGGATGATGGAGTGATATTATTACAGGGCAATGGTAGGCCTGATGCCTTTTATACCAACAATGAGCAACTTGTTAGTGACAACAAGATAATCATAGAAAAACAAGCGAATACAGTTTGAGGTGAGTTTTTATTCTATCCCGGCTTGAGGATATTCCATTTGCCTAAACAACAATTTGATGAACATATGGACATAGAGCAGCACCATGTCCTCAAGAAGCAACGATAATCACTGGGCATCATCCCCCGTACCATGGATAAGGGAACATGAACAGAGTGGAGCAACCAGCAACTTGCAGTGGTCAGCAGTCACCCCACTGGAAAAGGGAAGCGAATTATTTGGTTGGGGTAGAAAGGACACTAGCACAAAGGAGGTTTGAATATCCGCAATTACTGCCTATCAACATTGCTGCACTGCACAGCAATCTCAAGCCAGGTCTGCCAGGTTCGAGATCGAGCTGTATCGAGCACTCGACATCTATGGAAACAGAGTACATGGGGTCCAAACCTATCTAGATATTTTCCGCCATCTCAGCGAACTGAATAATATCGTTGGTATACCTGTGCGCCATGGAAAGCAGCGTCTGGTCTGTGAGTACGGAGTACACTGAGGAGTGAGCACTGAGTAGAAATTGAGGGGTTGCCTGGAGGTGGAGTATCTAGAGGAGGTTGTCCAACCATGGCTCCGCTCTTCCTGAAGACTCCCTCTCTTCTGACGACATCATCATGACTTGAGAAAATGAGTTGATCTAGAATGATACAACACTAATATTATTAGAGAACCAAATCAATCAATTAATCAGTGAAAGCCTGAAGAAAGTCATAATAAAATACCAGGAGGCACTAAGATCTATATCTGCCACTGTGCTCCGTACTGCTGAGGATCCCCATTTCATAGAAACTGCTCTTAAGTGACAGGATCCGTGGTCAGTCAGTCCAGTAAAGAGAGGAGTAGGAGGCGGAGAGAGGATGAAACTGGGGCACTGAGCAAATCATGATAATCTGCGATGAAACTATCTAGCCCAGATTTACTCTTACTGACAGGCCATAGTCGACTCCGCAGACCGTACTAGGAATATGATGTGATTTTACTGCTGGAGACTTGAGGCAATTTCTGGTTCTGGCTGAACGTCGAAGAGGGTCTGGAGAAATGGATGACCAGCCTACCAATGCTAATTAGACTTGATCTGTTCTGGTGGACCACGCCTAAAGTACGGAGTAGATCGACTCGAATATGGAAACACTAGTTTAGTAGCTACCTATTGTTTCTTGCTCCCCGATAATCGTAATCGCTCGACCCCTTCGTGCAGAATTCTGCCGTCTCCTGGACCCGGAAGATATTCGTGGTTGTCCAGATCCGGAACCCGGTCAACTACATACCTTGGTCGTGGCGATCTGAGGCTGTCATCCTCGCCGTTATTGTGCTGCATCGTACTCCATTCCCGTTCGATACATTAATATTGGCCGTCCTATCCAGCTTCACTCACCGTTGCAAGAAGTCGATAAAGACTCATAGTATTGACCACACGAAATGTGTCCGCGACCTGGCGGCCCGGTTACCGGGGAAGAGAGAGGACTGTGCGCCAATCGACCAGCCCTGCGTCGCTTGGACTCGAAAAGGATTGTCATTTCCATTCGTATTGTTTTTTATAATGGGTAGGGTGCTCGGTAGGTCAGAAAAGTAGTGTTGCCATACAAGGAATACAGGATGAGGGGAATTCCTCTTTCGCCATCCTGCAGCCTGTGACTTTTCTACTTGCCCGACGGACAGTGCCAATCACGGCCTCTGTGGCTGCTCCATACCGGTCGGAGGTTGCAGTAGGATTCCGTTAATTTGAAAGAGGAGAGAATAACTTTGCTGATCAGGGTGCGAAAGAACCGAATCCTGCAGCGAAGAAAAGGAGTAAGTGAGTACTGTTAATTTAAAAAGAGTGATAAGATGTGAAGTACTCCGTATGCATTGTAGATACTTTGTGCTACAGTCCCACAGTGCGGTCACCTAAAGTAAACGACAAGATTCATCCCATGGCTGATCTAGGTTTAAAGTTGAATTGGACTAAAAGTCTTCGGTAACTTCGTGGGGACTTAGTTTTTTTTTTTCAGGGGTTCGCCCCTTGAGCTTATTGAACTCATTAAAAAAAAACCT